CTGCTTTGTCAATGCCGCTGTTGCCCTGCATCACATCGCTGCTACTCTGTAAGCTATTGCTGCCTGCTGCGCTGTAAGCCCCACCACCACCCCAGCATCCACCTGTAGGCTCCGACTGGGGGTTAAGGTATTTGCGCATCACTCCCCAATATCTCTATGTAAACATATCTACGGGGAGTGATCGAAATAGGCTATACTGCTTTAATAAACATATCAAACGTGAGTTGGCTGACTGAAATATATAAATAAATCAACAATAAAAACATGGCAATATCCACTCAAGAAGTTCACTCAGGATGAAAAAATATGAATAAAAACTGGCTTGATTGCGGTTTGGATGTCTACATGATCAATAATTTTATTTCAAAGTCAGAACAGGCCAATATTACTGGCACAGCACCAAATGTATATTAGTGCTGCACCAAAATCTATATTCCTTTCTTTTGCCTGGCGGTGTGTGGTTCATCTATCTATTTGTGTTTTGGTGCCTAACAAGCTTAATCTCTATCTAATCTCATTAGGTTGCAGCTACAGGTCTGTTACTGTCAGTAAAGTGGCAAAACGACCGCACAGCGCAAGGATTAGATGAGACAACACATGTTTATTCTAATTTTGGCACAGTTAAGGTACGTCAGTGCTGCCAGCTGTAGTTCATTATTAATGTCAACAATGTGTTCACAGCTGTAAACTGAAAAAAAAAAAAAATTTTGGTCATAATTAATGATACTGAAGGTGTACAATATGGAATGCTTCCTTCCGTCCTTCCATGCTGAATCTCCCACTGTGCCTCCCCCTCCTGCTATGTTTGTATTATCTGTTTCTTGTTTTGTTGCAGAGCTTATCTTCACATGTATCATCACAATCCTGACGTATATGTGATACACGTAAACATACACAATTCATTAACAGACAGAAATGTACACACGTCCTACTTAAAAGATAAGTTCACGGGAAGCAGTATTGGCCGATACCTATCACGGATCATTGGGTCTAGAGCCATGTGTTTCTAGTGTAGCCTTATATGTTTTATTATTTACTATTCTTAACAACATTATTAAATAGGTATTAAAATGCATTAATTATTAAATTAGGAATTGATGCACAACTGTAATTATTGGCAGGCAACATGTTCAACATGACAACTTA